CTAAGCTTCAAACCCTCAACGAGGCACATTTTTTTTTTCTTCAGAATTAACTTTAGCCGCCTTGTCAATCCAGCCTATAACAGGTGGAAAATAATAATAGCATCGGAAGTAAAGGCGGCCAAAGCGATATTGATGACATCCCATAACGTGTGATCTTTGGTCTTCAAAAACATAGAACCGAATCATATACTAGAATTGCTTTAGACATAATTAGTTTTATTTTACAGGGATATGCAATAGCAACTGGACTGTGTTTATGCATAAACTGCCAGTACTGTCTATATTAACTTTTGTTGTCTTAACATGAACTTTAGGGCCCCAAGACTACTGCTGTCACCACCAATCGTGCAGATTAGGATTGCATTTTTTGAATAAAAGAAAGAATCCCCAGTCTCACCAAAGATTTAAATCCGTATCTACCGCATGAGAACCCGGCGTTGTTAACCGTTAGGTCAACTATTCCTCTTCGCTTATGCATGAAGGGCGTTAAGTACATATGAATATTACGAGGACATAAGCAAGATAATTAGACAACCAACATATGGCTATACACTCCTTTTCCACATACTGGCACAAACAAACACACACACGCACTCGCACATGCACTTGTCTAACTGTGTACAAATGACGTCATACATGCAACATGTTGCAATGATTATTCCCCTGTTTGCGATCGCCACCAGTGATTGCGTTATTAATAAAATATCGCTTTGTCATGGCTGATGCATGCAAGACTGTTAGTTTCGTCTAGTGTTTATTTTGTGTGTGAGCAGGACTGCTTTAGTAGTTTGGCTGACATTTAATACTGCTCATTGTTGTTATTATTGTCCACATCATCATCATCAGGTGCCTTGCCGACTAGCGTGGGCGATCATGCCTTTCCATAATCCATGATCTCCTGCAGCATGTATCAGTTCGTGTGCCGACACACCTCCATGCCATGCAACAAGACTGTCAAGCATCTTCTCTCGTTGTCTTCCTCTATTCCTCCTTCCACAGATTTGTCCAGTGGTCACAGCATGTTCTATTTTCCCTCTTCTAGCTGGATGACGGTCGGGTATCACCCGTAGAAAATGATGCTCCCTACCGGACGAGGTGATTCCACCGGAATCCCCATTCACGTCGTTATCTGAATTCATATTATTTTGAGGCATGATTAACTAGGGATAGTACAGCGGTGGTTTCCCCTTGACTTCCGCCGGTTTGTGTATGGTTTGACTCTAATAGCTTTATCTAAAGAGACTTACCCTGCAAGGCAGCAGGGGGGAGAGGTTATGGCGCCTATTACACGCCGATGGTATTCTCTACAGCATTTGCTAAAATCAAAGTTTCTGTCTGATAACATTAGGAGATTAAAATATATCAACGCTGATAAGACCAGTTGTTTTATATGGCTCTGAAACTTAGAGCAAAACTTACAGAAATAAAGCCTTACTGCACATTTTTTTTTTTTTCAAAACAGAAGCTTGCGAATCATTGAAACCCTCAAAGATGCAAACAGCGTGGAATTGAGAACGAGAAGCAAAAATGAAATTTATAGTCTGTCGAAATCACCATTAAGCTACAAACCCCGATACTTAGAAACCAACAGAACAGAAATAGAAGGGACGAAAGCTGTACAATCATCAGCCAAAGTCAGCATCTCTATTTACGGCTATCTCGTCATGACTGCACTTAATCGAACTGGACGGTTCATTCTGGCCACACCACGGTCAATGCACGCGCAGTCTGTGTATTAAGTCGGCGTATGTGGCTTAGGAGTTGCAAACGCGCTTTGTAATGCTGGAGTGCCGGGTTCGATCCCACCTGCGGGCCTTGCACCTTGCTTTGGTTTCGACAGTGGTATCCAGAAGCTGACTGTCCAGAAAGCAGTGGCAAACTACTGGACGTAAATTTGCCTAGAAAAACAACAACACCCAAATAAATGCTAGGGTTGGTTCTGCAACGTCATGTAAAGGATACGCAATTATCTGTTATTTTACACCTGTTATTATTCATTTCAAATGTTTAAAGTAAGCAATTGCAGTCAGATTTTTTCTTTTTTTTTCTTTTTGCACGGCCCCTACAGTGTGTGTGTGTGAACACGAGGGTTCTAGCTGACGGTGGCGTAAATTAAGTCTGTTTGTTTTTGTCTCTGTTTGAAAGTCTGACCAAATACACCACGATGCAATGCTAGGAGACCAGCACACTGGACGGATCATCACCTATCTTACACACAGACACACTCACACATGTCCGCCCTAGAATAATGTTACCTTTTTAAGTCTGTGTTTGTGTGTGTGTTGTGTGTGTGTCTGTGTGTGCGCTTTAGTTTGTTTGTATGTGAGAAAGAAAGAAAGAAAGAAAGAAAGAAAGAAAGAAAGAAAGAAAGAAAGAAAGAAAGAAAGAAAGAAAGAAAGAAAGAAAGAAAGAAAGAAAGAAAGAAAGAAAGAAAGAAAGAAAGAAAGAAAGAGACAGGCAGACAGACAGATAGACACAAAGTTTGACTGACATTGGATGCCTATTTGCACTTTAAAATTATTCTTAGACAGTGTCAGCTGTAGTTCAAATTAATAAGTCAAAATCACAGCCTACTAAGTACGTACATACGTACGTACGTATACAGACAGACAGACAGACAGACAGACAGACAGACAGACAGACAGACAGACAGACAGACAGACAGACAGACAGACAGACAGACAGACAGACAGACAGACAGACAGACAGACAGACAGACAGACAGACAGACAGACAGACAGACAGACAGACAGACAGACAGACAGACAGACAGACAGACAGACAGACAGACAGACAGACAGACAGACAGACAGACAGACAGATAGAGAGACAGAGAGACAGACAGACAGACAGACAGACAGACAGACAGACAGACCGACCGACCGACCGACCGACCGACCGACCGACCGACCGACCGACCGACCGACAGACAGACAGACAGACAGACAGATAGACAGACAGACCTGTAGGCAGACAGACCTGTAGGCAGACAAATAAACAAATAAATAGACTGATCGGCAGCCAGACAGAGCGACAGACACCAGGCGCGGGTTCCAGAGTCGTGTTCGAGGGTGAGGGGAGAGAATAGAACCCCAGCCCCATAGTCATTTCGTAAAAGGTGACTAATAAGGGGCGTGTCCGAAATGAGAGTGCATCTGCTTGAGAAGCCAGGATCAAACTGTCTGTGTACAGAGACATCTACCTCCTTGTGCTACCGCCGCTGCCACACATGTTGTATCATGAGTTGCTCTCTTTTCTATCAAAAGAGTTAATCGAATAGTTTACCGAACAAAGAATTTAATAACAAGACGCTGAAGCTCAGTAGAAAGGTTACTAATGTCATTACCAGTAATGTAGGCTTGTTTAAGAGAGAAACTAAAGAGACAGATCTAACGTGAACTGGTCACGTTTGAAGTGGCCACGTCAGAATACTGTTTATAGAACGAAACTGCCCAGTCCACATTCCATTAGCAGATTGCTGAAGCCAGTGTGGCGATGTTCAAGCAGCTGAAAGGTAAACAAACTAGACTTTAAGATAGCGACAGGCGTGCTATCAGAGAAATTGAAACATTCTGACATATCCTAAAGGTCTTTCAAGGGAAAATTGCAAAAGAAAATTAACTGGTGTGGAAGATACATATGGAAGTGTCGATGTCCTAAACGAACACACACAAAACATTGTGTAATGGGCTGCTCACTTACAAATGTTCTTGAGTGACTGAGCTCAAGAAACCTAAGTTTCGTAGAAGTGATAAAAATAGTTGTAATAATGATACTAATAATTTAAAAAAATAATAATAAAAAATACTGTGCTGAATGGCAAATAAGGGACATAATATATTTTAATATTATACATGTATATCAAGTTTTCCGTCTACAAACATGACACTGCAGGTTCAACTACCACATGCATAAAATAAAACCGGTACAGTCAACACAGTGCACCTACCTCTCAGACAGGACCACAAACACCTGAGTATATTCTGCAGACCAGACAACTCTACCCACAACTTCGAAAAGAAACCTGGCCCCAGGAGAAAAATGTGCATAGCAAGCTACGGGGAAATAAGAAGGACCTGCAGTAGACATGTGAGTTCATAAAGGCAACCGACCTGATGGTCTGACCGAAGCATACGAAACCGAACAGCAAAGACAAAGATATCAAATGTATTAAATTATTTTAATTTCAGCAGATAAACAATGCATTAACTCCTACCGCCCCCCCCCTTAAAAGTTATTCTGGGGCCGAGGGCACCCCCACTACTGTTTTCACTATGACGACGCGCTTGGTTTAAAACCACATTCAGACTCATTTGGCTGGGGGGGGGGGGGAGGATGGTATTCAGCGGTAATTTTACCAATTCTGAGAGCAGCCATGGAGTAGTGGCTAGGCGCTTGTCTGTTGATCTTAGGGTGGTGTGTTTCTTTCCTGCCGAAGCCAGCTGAGAGCAGCCATGGAGTAGTGGCTAGGCGCTTGTCTGTTGATCTTAGGGTGGTGTGTTTCTTTCCTGCCGAAGCCAGAATATTTTTTTTTTCTCAGAAATGGACTGGAGACTGTGTTTTCTAGTTGACCCAGTCTAAAAGAATGCCAGGAAATATTTTCAGAAGTAAAGACAGCCAGCTTGATGTTGACCATATTACCCATCGATTGCCTGTTTGGTCTTCTGGGAATATGAGTAACATCGTCTGCCCACTGTCACAAAAGCGTTGATAACGATTTTGGTAAAAACACTCGGTTGTATTTTTGCGTGTCTTTTCCATTATCTCTGTTGAGCACTCCAGTCACATTTTATGGTTTGTTAGCACTAATATATAAATAGTTCGAAGGCACAAATAGATCATTACGGTCTAAGAAGAATGGGGATACGGGAAGTTAGGAGGGGATCAGACCGACGCTTAACACTTAAGCACAATCAGGCAGTTACTTGCACCATCGGAAATGGAACACTTCGTTTGCTTTTTTTTTTTTTTTTCAGATCATACAATTTTATTTCAGCAGATTAAGATTGTGGTCGCTCCTTCTTTTCCTTGAACAGAGCAAGAAGAGAGACATTGGCAACTTTGACAATCTTGAAGCGGACACCAGGAATGTCACCGACGGCGTGTCTTTTACGACCGAAACCAGCTACTAAAACTTCGTCATTCTCCCCAATGAAGTTAAGACAACCATCGTTGGGTACGAAGGCTGTACTCTTCTTGCCATTCTTGATAAGCTGGATGACTCTCACACACTTTCTGATGGCAGAGTTAGGCTGTTTGGCTTCAAAACCAACTTTTTCCAACACAATGCCCTTAGCATGAGAGGATCCCTGGTGAAAATTTCGACGGAGCACTTATAGGAGTGTTCCAAGTGCCATGACTGACTGACTTTCTACCCCACCAGGACATCACACAAGCGATAAACACCCGATGACACAGTGTGCCACCATGTGGGTGAGGATCACCGTGGAGAGGTCCCAGAAACCGCGTTCAGCCTTTAGGTCATATATATGGCTAGGCTATATATTGCGGCCCCTGGCAAGAGCCTGAGTAGGGCTTCAAATAACGAAAAAAATGCATCCTAAAAAACGAGAAGTTAATTGAGATACCAAGTGCCATGATGTCTATTCTTAATTCAACATTTGATTTGTCACTAGTATAATCAAGTCTATTTTCATGCATTAAAATATAAATGCAATAAAATGTATAATGTGTATCATCTTGGTCATCGATGCGAGTAATGCTCGTGCAACTTTTTGCTGCAACAGTGTCCACTATTAAGCCTACATTCTAACAAGGTTATATGTAAACTAAGGCCTCCCCGTCTGGCATTCGGGGCCCCATTTTCAAAGACCCACCGTCCTAACAAACTTGTCATAAAAGGCGACGAATTAGAGTTGGAGTTATCTCCTTGAGTGGCGAGGAACCTACAGTGTGCATGAATATAGAACTTTTTTTTTCACGTTTTCATGTACATTGGGCATATAGGGCTAGACCTATATTCCAATGGAAATCGAAAAGAGTAGCCTAAGAACGCTGCCCGAATAAAATTTGGAGTTAAAAACCTACCTAAAGTATTTTAGGATCCTCGCTGGGGCAACGGAGTTCGTGCACTGCGTTGATAATTTTCAGACAGGTTTGATTTGGAAGTAGGGCTAGACCTATAATCCATTGGAAATAAAAAAGAGTAGCCTAACGGCGCTGCCCGGGCAAAAAATTGGAGTTCAAACGAAGCACTTATGGATTACAACCATGTTCCTTGATGTTGGTCCATCGAATGAACAATCAACAATCTGACACTCCCTTTATGTCCCCCCCCCCCCCACCCCTCTTCCTAGCCACACACCTTTTAATCTGCAGTCTTATCGCCGTCGCAGATTCAGTCATCACTTGATTCTTGTAAGCGGCTAATTATTGTAGAATATTCTGTATTTCAGCCTGCCCATGGGTAGCCCGCTCTTCAAAGTAACCTTACCTGAAAGCCTATATAATCACAGTCCTTGGGTCGAGCCCGTGCCTGAACATACTACCTATTGATTCAGCTCATTTCTTCACATTACCAGAGCTACACGCCATTTCATGTTATTAAAATAAATATAGAAAAAACATACTTTTAGTCTGTGTGTGCATGAGAAGTTAATTTAATTTTTTTTCTCTCTAATCTAGATAATAAACATTAAAAACAGTTCCGGTGAAATAAGATTCCGTTAGAATAAATAACATTAACAAATCAATAATGTTGTTTTATAATAAAATGTGTTTTGTTGTTGCTGCTGGCTGTTTTCGCTAGGTGACTGCATATATAATATTTAACTATACAAGCTTACATGATGCAATTCTGGTGTCTTCTTTCTCAGATTAACACAAAGTTGTTTTTTTTTTTTTTTTAAAGTTGTGTAATTGAACCAGAACAAAACTGTTTTTCGCAGCGGATGAGGAAAATGCAAAGTCATGGACATGTCTTTAATTGAAATCAGCTTCGAGGTCAGCTCTCGCCAACTCAACAAGACTCGTGGACAAACATCGACTTCCTGTTTGGGAGACTCGTGTGGCACCTGCGTGTAATCTCCAAGGAAGGTCGAGTCTGAATGGATTATTAAATGCAAAGCTGACGTCTTTTGGTGGGCAGTGGCCAGTGAGTGTGACTTGAATTCCTTTTCTTCTTAAAAACGTGGTTGGCAGGTTGTGTTGTGGCTTACGACGAGGTTGCGAACTTGCGTCTTTCGACTCCACTTTAGAATTCAGCAATTTGTAGATCAGGTCTATTGGTATGCGTGGCGCTGCCGTGGTGTCGAGGCTATACGCTCGTCTACGATCGGAAGGTCGTGGGTTCAGGACTTTTTCAAAAATGACCTTGGCTCTTGTGTCGCCCTATCATTGAAAAAATACCAGGCAGAGTTTTGTGAAGTATAGGCAGCCGGCGTAATGCTAAGACCATCTTCTACCAAGTCTATAAGTGGTATGAGAGTACGACCGTGGAAGATTACAGTTTTGTCGCGTATTATTTCCAAAAACAACAGTAGATGCATATGTTCACAATTGAAAAAAAGAGCACATCCAGCCTCCAGTGACTACTCCTGGCAGAATTGGTTAGCTTTTGCAATGGCTTGGCTAGTCGTAAACTCATTGTCAACACACGGGCTGGTACTTGCTCTTGATGGTAGATTAGGGAGAGGCGGGAGAGGCATGACGCCCCCAAGGTAAGGTACTTGGTGATGACGATTAAGAGACACAGGTTGTTTGTATACAAGAGGGATCAGCAATAAAAAGAGAGAAGGAGATGCAGAGTTAATGAGTGACAACGAGAGAGAAAGAGATAGAGAGAGAGAGAGAGAGAGCACGCGGGATATCATGTGAGAGAGAATGAGAGGGAAAATAAAGACAAGAGTGACAAAAAGTGAACGTGAGAGAGAAGAACAAGGAGAGAGATTAAATGCGCACTAGTGATACACGATGTCTGCGAGATAGTGTGTATGTTTAAGAGTGACAAAAATAGAACTTGAGAGAGAGAGAAAGAGAGAGAGAGAGAGAGAGAGAGAGAGAGAGACAGACAGAGACAGAGACAGAGACAGAGAGAAAGCAGACATATAGGTTGACGGATATAAACGACAGAAACAAACAGGCAGACAGTCCGAGAAAAGGCCAACGCGCAATATGCCACCAAGTCTACAGAGGTTACAAGTAGGACTTGTGGCCCGCTATTGAACTTCAAATACTGACCTTATGAGCTGGCAAACATTAGTGGGCGAGATCCAATTTACATGTGCCAGTTTAAGGAAGCTTTTGTGAGGCCTCGACAGCTGTTTGTTTATCTGTTTGATTAACGTTTGTTTGAGGGGCCCTGGCTGCCCAACATGCTGGCGTGTGTATCTTCATATCTCATTGAGAGAGGTGCATTCTTTCAAGTCACATCTGTCCTTTGTGAAACACGGCCTTTCTGTTAACGAATTCGATCTTTGAAACGAAAAAGACAAAAATGCTGTTCTCCAGGGTTGCGTACCGAGTGTTGTGTGTTGAGTGTTAAGCTATGAACTGACATCACGGGACACGGGGCATTGCCAGTCCTCGTTTTCACAGCCAGCGAAGAGTTCCCATTCCCATGGTGTCAGTAAGTAAAAGTAAAGGACCCTTTCCCACGCCTTCCGGATAATTTGGACATATGGTTATGTTATGTTATCACAATTGGCATCACTGCATATTGGGCATTCCCATGCATGCTCAGTCCTCCGATGCAGCAGCAACTCTAAAGTATTTCTACTAATTGTTTCCATAAGAAGCTGGTTATATTGTCTCCTATCACGGCATCGAAGACCGTATTGACGTGATTAACCATGCTGTACTCCCATGTAACGCAATCGTGTTAATGTCAGGGATTCCTCATTATCCACTAGCCCAGTCCGTACAGCGTTGACGATATCTGCTCTGTCCATGCTTCTCCCCACACGCCTGATTGCAATGCATGCCAGTTGGTCAGCTCGCTCAATTCCCTTTACGCCCGCATGACCAGGTGTGTAGATCCAGGTGAGGGAGGTGGTACAAACCTTGGACATACAGAACTTGACCTATATTTTATAGACAAATCGGCACTTGGTGAGTGATGTGGTCAACATCACACCGGTCGCCTTTACTTCATTGGACGCCACCTGGTACCCAGTCATGGCTGCCCGACCTGGAATCCAAGGTCATAAAAAAATCACCTAGTACCGCTAGGACATGAACCCACGAAATTCTGATCCGCAGGCGAGAGTCCAGCCTCTAAACCACGGCAATACTAAGTTGCTTAAATGTCCACCTTTCCTCTACTCTGAGTGTCGATCACATCCTCTGCTTATTTATAGCGGTATCACTCTCTTCAGACGAAAATGATCTTATCCGTTCTTTCCCCCGCATTGTTAGCTTGCTCCTAAAGGACCTTGATCACATCTAGCTTCCTATGCATCAAAACCCATTGATACAGCACAAACCAGTCTGTCTGTCTGTTCATTTCCCAACACACCTGCATATCCCGGAGAAAATATCAACAGAACGCTAGCTGAACTCTCATCTGTATTGGGGATTTGTGTGCTGAAAGAGTAACAGCTAGTGACTTAACGAGACACTATGTGGATAGAAAAATCCAACATTAGCAAATCAAAGAAACTACCTTAAACTGCATAATACTAACGAACCTAAGCCTGTCTAAAATTCTGCTCGTCTGTAATCAACAACATAAAGTACCAGCCGCCCTTGCTGGTAATTACAGAAGATCGATTAGTAAAAGATATGGATTTGATAAAAGTAATACTGAACTATCATTGCATTAGATGGAAAAAGCCTAAACACATCGCAGCAATTTTAAACTTAAAGATAACATATTATGTAAAGTTAATGAACTCGGACTTATTTTAATATACACCATTACAACAAATATTGAGCGGTCTTTTTGTTAATTCGCAGAAAAACTTTTGACAGATACTCCTGAAGCAGAAATCCTGTTATCGCCACCTGTAATTGAATTGGATGTGTGCGGCAATTCCAAGCTGCCAGCACTCAGGTGAATCAGATGGGAATATTCCAAGAGTTTCTCACAGGATGTCTAATTATTTGAATAGACGACATCAAACGAGTACAGTGTTGCCAGTACTCAAATACCCCTTGACAGGATTTATTTTGTGTTGGGCACTGAATGCATCTGCCTAACTATCCCCTTATTGAAGTGGATATTGAGAAAGCGTCACATACACAAACCAAAGATTCAAACTAGTAACCTAGGTGCAAAAATATCAAATGCGCCAAAACTATAGGGTTTATCATATACAACACTAGTAACTATAGGGTCTATCATATACAACACTAGTAACTATAGGGTTTATC